ATCTTTAATGGGGTTGGTCACATAAATAAAAAAGGAAAACAGAAAAAAACATCATATACTGTATTAATCTTTTATTAAAAAAAAGATACAACAGGTTTTCATCTCAATAGGCTCTATGCACAGCTCCACTACTTCCTGAATTTAATGCAGCTCCTTTGTTTCCTGTCTTTCATTACTGGACGAACTGATTAATCCAGGTGTGTCTGGCCAGTTACTTAGGTCATACACACCTACATTAATCAGTGCATCCAATCATGAAAGACAGGAAACAAAGGAGCTGCATTAAATTCAGGAAGTAGTGGAGCTGTGCATAGAGCCTATTGAGATTTTGGTGTCTGTTTGTATTCAAAATTAGAACCTAATTTTTATTTTTTGTATACTTAAAGGCATATAAATGAATTTGTTACCTTTTTTTTTTTTGCTTTCATCTGCTTTTCTGTCATTCAGGGATAACACCACGCGTCTTTTAGGCAAACATTCTTTGCTTAAGCACTTGGCACATTGTTTACTAAATTATAGATTGGATAGTTGGATACTTTTTCTTTAATGTGGATGATGATTTATTTTCCCTGTTCCTTTTGTCTTTAGTAAGCGCCACTATCCTGTTGCTTCAAAACTCCAGTTGGTAAACGTGTCATCTTGAGGAGAGGATCATCTCTGGACTAGTCTGTGAATCCACATGCTTCAAGAGAGAAGTGTGGAAATCAGCTTCTGCCGAGCAGCCATTCTGTGATTCAGACACTTGACATTTATTCTCTCTCAATGCTTCAAACAACCTGTCTGATTAGCCATAGTAATTTACAGTGTTTACATCGATTCATATCCCTTTTTTTTTTTTTTTTACTTTATATCTCTTCCTAAATTGCAGCTTATCTTAAAATAGTGGGAGAAACAAAAACATTGTCTTGTGAAAATAGTGCATCTTTTAGTGCTTAATTAACAAACATCATGTCTGCCTAGAAGGTTTTGACCTGTTGAATTTGACAAATAAAGCCCTAGTGGATTAAACCCCTTAATCTTAGTGTTCCATATTTATGAACTAGACAATAGCTTCTCTTGAAAAGTTCTGAAATTATTTCCTAACAAAGCGCATATCATTCAATATATGCATCAATGCAAAAACAAAAAAAACCCAAATCTTTATTCGTAGTATGTTAAATAGTTTTGTATGTTTAACTTTTATTTATCAACTTTGTTAATCCCAAAGAAGAAAAAACATGCTGTTTATACTTTATATGTTTTTTTTTTCCAATGAGTTGTTGTAGATGCTGATTGCTGTGGGAAGGAGGGATCTTCTATAGCAGCCTCTGACTGAACACACTCTGTTGTATGAAAGGCCAATGAAGGCTATTCTCAGGGTTGACCATGATAGTTTTCACTTTACCACATAGTATGAGGAATAGCACCTTCTTTTTATAATCAAGGCTTCAGTATTGAAAGGGATCAAATTGAAATAGATTTATTAAAGCTTACTTCAAAGATGTTTGCACTTCATGTTTATTAAAATGATAATGTTAATGTTTATATTTTTATGGAGACAATTGTAAAACTATAGAATTTCTTACTTCAATTGAAATAATATTACACAACATCCTATACAAGTATTTTCTGCATCTTGATGGATTGATGGATGTTGGATGATGGATAGCTGTTTTCCTTTAATAAATGAAATCCTATGTAAGCAGCGTTGGATTTATGTTTTCTGATTTTTTTTTTCACTCAGATTGTCTTCGTCTCATTAACAATCATTAACTGCTGCCCAGTTCTTTCCAGCATCCTGGTATAGGTCTTTCTGAAGAAGCTGAGAAATGGGATAAGCATGTAACTGTGACCTCAAAACAACATTTAGCCATGATAGCCTGGGATCCATAAATGCTATTCTAAAATAGTAAATGCTATCATAACATAGATTTGGTAGGGAAAAATGATCAGCTTCAGAGAACACTAAAGTCATCAGCTAACATACTGAACTTTTGGAGTATGTACCATGAACAATACAGCTTAGCTCCAATAATCATTATTACTTATAAATGATGTGTTGTAAATTAAAACCAATATGGATTTTATTTGTCCACTGCATTTTGTTTTGTAGCAATATACTTTTTTTTATAAAATAAACATCTGAACCCTGGACTGGTTACATGACTGACTGACATGATTGATCTGTTTTGCTTTGTGAGGACCCAACTGAAAAATTAAACAAGATTTTATCAACCAAAAAGTAAGTTTTGATTATGTATTTGAGTTCACCTTCAGCTTTGACCCACATAAAACCAAGCAGAGGAACAGACTGGATGTAAAGAACAGCCTGGAATCAGCTGTTTTTCACACTGAGCTATCAGAGCTCATCAAAGCAGCTCAAGTATCTTGATGAAAACAAAGCAAAATGAATCAAGTCAGTCTGACTACCGTAAAATGTTTGTCATCAAGTTTAGTGGGATTATAGGGAAGCTCAATGTTTATAAATAAAGGTTTATGATATGATTATATTTTGTATTTATTTCAATTCTTTACCAACTTCCAGGCAACATACTAATGTTTTTTTTATTTAAGAAGGAAAGTATAAATAATATTACAAAAAAATGCTCAAATTAGAAGATTAAGTAAAATAGTCTTTATTTCAGTTATTGTACATTCTACTTTTGGACAATCATCAATAGTTTTGTCTGAGAGGGGGACTCATGGTATGAAAAATTGCAAAAAGGGGAACACGAGTCAAAAAAGGTTGGGAGACACTGATCTAGAAGAATATATGGTAACTTTACCGCTGTAATAAACCTGTTACTGTTCTGCATTTGGCAGCATCCCCCTCTAGCCACCGCCTTTCTTTTTTGTCTCTCTCCCTCCCTGCGCCGCTTTTCCTTTTACTACGTTCGTAGGCCGAGTCCATTGCTTCTTATCCTCACTTGCACCGCTCGCTAGCCTTCCTCCACCCTCTGCTGTCGGTGTCCCTCCTCAAATGCTACTGGCCAAAGTGGCCTGGTCTGTCCCTCTCTCTGACAGGTGTGCCGCTGCTGCACCGGCAGACTTTTAACAACTACAGAGAGAGATAATACTCCCGGTTCTCCCTATAACCAGTCCTGGAGAACATAAAAGAGGATGGAACAAACAAATACTGCAGAATTGATAATAGAGATAGAATGAAGCAGAATGATTAAAAGGGATCCTTATGTCCTTCAGCAGTCTAAACCAAAGGTCTTCAACGTTTTCCAGACCAAGGACCCCTAAACTGATGGCGAGATGGAGCGGGGACCCCCTTATTATATATATTGCATGAAATTACGTTATATCAAACTGGTCCTACAGTCACTCTATTACAGATGGAGCAATGTAACCAAAATTAATTTCGCCCTGGGATTATTAAAGTATTTCTGATTCTGACTCCTCATTGATGGTACAGGTGTTGTGAATGAAACGGTGCCCAGCTTGAAAGAGCTCCTGTGTGTCGCTGAATGTGAGCATTGATGACTGAAAGACATCTTCTGCCTCCAATTATCTGTTTACTAAAGTGTGTTGAATTCATGTTAATGTAGATTTAAAGACATTTCAATTAATGGTAAAAAAATTGCAGGGGGGAATATAAAAAAAGTCTAATCAACCAAAACTTTTGCGACCCCCATGCAGTACCTCTGAGCACCCCCTAGGGGTTGCAGACCCCCCGTTGAAGACCTCTGGTCTAAACATATAGCACTAAAAATGTAGAAAACAGCTCAGGATTACTGTCAGAGCTCAGAAAAGAAGATCCAGTAATTTGAGACAAAAAAGATTTCTCAGAACGTTTTATGAATAACAGAATCAGGCAGACAGTGTTTAAGGCAGGAACCTCTGCAGATGGAGAAAGCAAGTTAGTGATCACGTCTTTATGGAAGTGGATGATCACAAACGAGTGAGTCACTAACCTGGTCTTATAGTTCTATATAGTCTGAGTCCAGAAGTACAGGATTGTTCCTGCCGGCTGGCTGCCAAAACGGCGCAGCAGTTGCCGCACATAGTGTCCCAGAAGCAGGTGTATTGGAGGTCAGAGGACAAGCAGGAGATCAGAACCAAGCAGAGGGATGTAGGCAGGATAGTCCAGAGGGTGAAGCCAAAGCTAATGTCAGAGATGTGTTAGGTTTTCAGAGCCAGGAGGTCAGATATCCGGTGAAGCACTAAGACGGAGTCAGGTAACAGTTCCAGGTGGCGTTCACAATGGGAATGACAGGCTGGACGAGGGCAGGTAGACTCAGTGGCCGGGAAATGGTTTCCTGTCGGTAGACAAGCAGGCACAGATTAGGCAGGAATCCAAGGACAGATCAGGCAAACAGATCAGACGGGAACAGGTGGGCTCAGAGGTCTAGAGGCAGAACGGGTCGGGATCAGGCAGTCAGAAAACATTACAGTAGATTAAATCTCACCAACGGTTTAAAATAATCTGGGACTGATGACTGGTCTGAAGGCTGGTTAAATAGAGACTAATACAGGGGATCAGCTAAGCGGGTAATTAAAACTGGGCAGAGTAAAGCAGGTGTATGAATTGAGTTATCTGACCAGGAATCAGTGCCAACATAATCACTGATTACCTAACTATTTTGGATGAGGTATGAGAAAGGTAGAGCACTATATTGTTCTTTACTGAACAATGTAGTGCAATTATAACCATAACACAATAATATTCTAAAATACTTTATTAAATAAATACTAAACATCACAGCAGAATTTGACATATTTTTCATTCAACCTCATCCTGGGAGCTTTTTGGATTTATGCTACCAACACCAATCTGAGAAGGAGATCATCCTGGAAAAAAGCAGAAATTTATGACACAGACTATAATTAAATTGTCCTTCACATTTGTGCTGTTAAAAGTAAAAACGGGATCCAGTGGTTTGTATATTAAAAAGCTGTTTTATTCTAAATAGTATGGATTTCGGGTAAATTATGATTTTAAAGTATAATAGAAAATGGGTGGAAATGCCGGAGATATTACATCATTCTCCATGAATAGTCGATTAAATAATTTGCATTGTTCCATTCAAAGGAGGGCAAATTGCCAAAATACCGCCCTTGATGGTTTATAAAGGAGTGTTCCTGTAAAGTAGGCCAGTCTGACTGACAGAACTGTTCCAAACCCAAAATTTCCTGAAATTCATGCTGTGCTCGCGGTCGGATGTTTAGTTCTATTGTTGAGCTCCGTACAAACTGATTGTTGGAAAGCAAAGTTTGTACGGTATTTAAAATGTTAAAGCTGAAGGTTGTCTGGAAATCTTTGTAACATCCTGTTTTCATTTATTTGGTGTGGATATTTATTTAGTCAAATGACCAATGCTGGTGATTTCACTACTTTGTACTTCTGTGCTTGGGCAGTTTTCTACCAGATCTTTGGAGTTAAGAAAAAAAAGGAGCAGTCTCCAATGTTTTAAACCTTCCATACATTAGTTGAAAACCAATAGGTTCAAAAAATTTTTTAGGCAACTCAACATTTTCTTTGGAGTTATGTGAATGAAATGACAATATCGATCAGCAAAAGGTCTGTGAGAGCCATTTGTTTTACTTTTTATTAGCTGGTCTGAACAGGAATAGGAAAGAAATTGTGTCAGATTCCCCCTGCACTAGAGGATGAGAAAACTATTTAAAGATAAAACATCTTTCCCTGATCTAAATGAACTCAACAACAGATAAGAAACCAAATTATTGACCCCTATCAGCCTGAACAGGGTTAAAAAGCAATTTATTAAGCTCAAGCAATCTAAGGTTTATGCAGTGTTATTTTTGTTTGATATATATAAAAATGTTCAATGATCAGAATAATACAAGTTTGGTGGAAGAAAAAAAACAAAAAAAAATTAAACATGCAAGGGGCAACTGTAAATGTAAACATTTATGTTTACATATTTTTGTACAATTACAATTATTGGTATAGTTCATTGAAATTATGAACCAATAAAGGAAATAAAGAAATGTTAACCTGTTTGTTTGGTTTTTATTTACAAGAAAAATAAATTTCAGCAAATATAAAAACTAATATAAAATTTATAGACATAACTTGCAAAGGAATAATCAATTTAAGGCTTTCGGTATAAAGTTGGAGGAAAGGTCAGCCTTAGAAATACATATTAAGAAAATAACTGATAAATGTGAAATAGTTATACGTTTTATGAGGTCTATAGATGGGAGTGAGGAGCTGTGAGGAAAATACTGAAGTTCATATATTCAGGTTTAATTCAGATAGAATTTTCTTATGATTTAATTGGTTTTGCATAAATTGGACATTTTTCAGTTTCAAGTATTTAGATTATATACAGGTGTTGAAGGATCAACATAGGAAAGGGAGAAATGGTACTTGAGTTGAAAAGATTACAAATTCTTTCTAGATACTTGTCTCAAGAAAAAGGGAAAAAAATAATTAAATTATTTTGGCTGAACAGCAGATTAAATAATGAAGGATTTTGAATAATCTCAAATAAACATCAGTAAAATAGCTCTTCGAAGATCAGTTTGTTTATGTCTTTTACCTGACATTGAATCCAATCTAAGCAAGGAGAATATTTTAGATCCATGTATGGGTCATCAATATTTAGATAACAAACATTATGGATACCTTAACGTTTATACTGATGTTTCAAAAGATCCAAAAGCGACAGTGACTGTGTTTTTGTTTTTCATTGTTCAAATATTTAATTTTACAACAGCTAACAGATACAGTCATGGAGTTCAAGTCTACTCAGAAGAAATGTTTGAGATCATATTGGCTTTGGAATGGATTAAAGAAATCCATTTATGAAGAAATTCATTTTGCTTCAAATCTAGTTCATCTTTATATTCACTGAAACGCAGTCATTTAGACAAAGCATTAGATGTCCCAAGAGAAATTCAGCAGTTCTTATATAGCATTCAAGACATGGTAAATTGTTTGTACTTATAAAGTACCTTTTCAAGTCAACTTTTGTCTTTTTAAACCTTTATTTAATTTGGAAAATCACTATTGAGCTAAAAAATCTTCTTGTCAAGGGAGACCTGGGAATAAGGAAATAAATAAATTAATAAAAAAAAATAAAAAAAATGCAGTTACAAAACGTTAGCATCCTATTCATTGTGAGGAAAACATGAAGACAGAAAAGATGAAATAATTTCTAGGGAAATTTTCTAAATTTGCTAGGAAAATGTGATTTTTGTTTTCAGGAAGAAACGGTGAACAATGTTTTATTGTTTTGCATTAAAATGTAGGTCAGAGAAATTATGTTAAATTACAATCCAATATCACAACTTAACATAAAACACATTTTAAACGCTAAATCGAAGGGTTAATCTTTATTAATGAGCTGCCCTTACCAACTTCATAAACTGATTTTTTTTCGTTGTTTGTTGTAGAAATAATTTTATCGCCGTCTAAACATTACTTCTGTGGGTGGCGGTAATGCACCCAAAAGCTTGTTGCCCACTGGCATTAAAACAAAGAAGAAGAGTTCCCTACGCCTTCGACAGACCAACCGGAAGTTGCCACCACCATAGTGATTGGTCGCGTTTTCTTTTTGTAAGTCCGAATCTATTCTACTCTCTATAACTAAACGCATATGCTCGATTGGACACGTATAAAAGTAAATAATGAAAATCCTCAGGGAATTTCTCAACTCAGTTTCAGCTATATGTTATGGTGACGGTTTTTGCTAACCTCCAGTTAGTTAGCCGAACTTAATGCGAATTTTGCCATGTTTACCGTCTTGATTGTTTTACAGCTGATTTTGGCTTTCTTTTTAACTTATTGAATGTTTTAACTCAACATAAATGAGCTCTTGGCTACTTCGGCTTGCATTTTATGTAAACTGAAGCTAATGGAGGATTAACTTAAGCCGTTGTTTACGTATAAACGCCGAGCCATGCTTTGAGAGAGGTTGTAAAATACAATCGCTTTTTTTTCCTTATGTCATTTATTGTCGAGTTTGCTAACGTTTATTGAGAAAATTTAAATTACATTTTATTATACGATGGATTTGTAAGCCTTGTTAGACGTTAGGTTCACTTTTTTATAAACACACTTTACAAGCGTTGTTGCTGTTTCTGATTGTATTTCTTTTTAAAATAGGAATACAACATTTTATGTGTTTAAAATCTTTAAGATTTTGATTTCTGTTATTTTTCGCAGGTATTAAGACTTCATGCCTGTCATTTTTCAGGTGTAAAAACCTTTAGACTTTGATGTGTGATTGTTTTAGTTGAACATCTTCTTGTTCATATTTCCTTGTTAATTTTTTTTGTTTCCAAAGAGTTTATTATTGTCACCGGATTGAAACACCAGATCCTGCCATGTGTGTTTATGCCCTACTATTAAGTAGCCTTTGCCTTGCCACCATTGTTCAAGGTGAGTCCTAACAGGAACACTGAGCATGCACAATCTGTCAATTGTTAAAGGGCTTTCAATCTTCATTCCAATCTTCTTAACTAATTTCATCATTTATTGAAATGTTCCCTAGCCCAGCAATGTTCTACACCCATTGGAGGACCAAACATGAACTTAAAAGACGAATACATCATCAAGAATACATTTGAGGATGGGGCTGTGGTTTATTTTAAATGTAATGTTGGCTACCAACCTGCTGGAGGATCTGGAAAGATCACATGCACTGCTGGCTTGTGGAGTCCTGTGCTGCTGGAATGCGAGAGTAAATATTTCCATCTACAATTATGCAGCAGAAAAACTATTTCACCTACTATACACACACACACACACACACACACACTCATAAACTCAGAAGAACACACAGTGACAATCATACACATCTTGAACCCATTTTATAGACTGGACCTGCACTGGCTTTACTTTATTCACATACTACATATAACATTTCTATGTAAATATGTGTTCTTCGAAGACTGTTTAATATGTTCCATAAGTAATTTTTTATTGTGGCTACCTAACATATGTGCCTTCTAAGATGAGCCTCTTCTTAAAAAGGCAAACTCCTCAATGAAATGCATTAAAGTAAATTTTTTTTTCTTTCTTTTCCTTTGTTTTTGTTTCAGAGAAGAGCTGTGGCGCTCCTACAGAAGTGGAGTTTGGTCAATATGGGGACACCACGGCTGAGTTTGGTGATACAGTTAAATACGAGTGTAAAAAGGGGTTAGTACTAAAGTCATAACTTTCTATCTACTGAATGTGAGCGATGAAAATATGCTTTTGTATATGTGTGAAAACTAAAACATTACTCTGCTTTATGATTTCAAACTGTTTTAGGTAGGGCTGGATGATACGACCAAAACTTATATTACAATATATATTTTAAGTTTAGTAGACATGATATATTTTCCATACCAATATAAAGAAAATATAAGCTTGCAAAAAGATTGCTAAGTTTACCCACAACAGAGTCCTGTACAATTGATGACTTTAATATTTTAAAAGTATTTTTTTTTTTTAAACTAAAAAAAACATAAAACTATATAAAACCCAAAATGTCAGTCAGTGACACATAGATGTCTTTTGAAATTATATTGTGATATACATTGATATTGAATTATTGTTCATACCTAGTTTTAGTTTTTTTCCATTTGCCAATAACCAGTCCTACTGTTGAATGATGCGTTTCATGTTTAATGCCTTTTTAAAAAAATGATTAACGCAACCTGTGCTAGTCAGCTCGATGCTAGATGGTATCTTCCTGTCATTGTGTTTACATGCACCCAATGCTGTAGAAGAAGATTCAGTTAACATTAGTTGTTTTAAAAGTTCAAATAAGTAATTAAATGTAGCAGCTGAGTTGTTGCTCGACCCTCTTTGTTGTTGAATGTAATCTGCAGTATTTTATATTTGCTGTTTCTACGTTTTCTCTTTTTTTGTTTAGCAGATAATGGCACTGTTTAACTAGTTATTTATTGGAACATCTCACAGTGCACTTTTTAAGGCATAAGAGGTTAAATAACTTTTATTGCCCTAAAATCAAAGTGGATGTTCATCCTGTTTGCTAGTCTGTCAGTGCTGTTGAAGGGCTTTTTTGAGTTTAATTTGCTTTCTTTGTATTTCCCACCAACTAATTAGTTACAACTTAGTTGGAAATTCAGTTTTAAGGTGTGAAGACCAGGGATGGGCAGGCAGAGAACCGACTTGTGAAGGTAGGTCACCTTTATGTTGATTTCATCTTATATGAAATTGAAATTAATTGAAATATGTTTCAGGTCTTACAGAAATGATTTTGTTTTGCAGTGATTCGGTGTGTTACACCAGATGGAGTTGTAAATGGTACATTTACACCACTGGAAGAAATCTATGAATACAACAGTGTTGTGAAGTATGACTGCAACAAAGATGTTGTGCGCAATGGATCAAGTGAGTTAGTCTGCTCTGAAGATGGGAAATTCCATCCTGACCCTCCAACCTGTGTCTGTAAGTGTTCTGCTGCTTTTAGTCTCAGATCCGTTACCATAATTATGATTACTGTTGTTAAAGTAATATTTTCCTTTCCATTTACTTTAAGGGGTCGAATGTAGGGATCCTGTAATTACACATGCTGTCTACGAACGAGGTTCTCGTCCTCCACACAGATACAAGGCCAGCGTGACATACAGCTGTGAAAAGGGATACAATTTACAAGGATCGTCTACCATAACCTGCACCATAGACAGTCAGTGGTCTCCAGCGTTACCAAGCTGCATAAGTAAGTCGAGCATCGGAAACCCATCAATATGTTTGTAAATATTTTACTATATCTTTTCATGGGACAAAACTGAAGATACTATACTTCGATTATAATGGTTTACATTTCCTGTCCCCTGAAATTAACTCAATTATCATGAAAATGCTGGCAGGGGAGGATGTCCAAACCTGTGACTGAAGTATTAGTGTTGGTATTTTTCAGCAGCTTATGTCTGAGAAATAAAGTTCACTAGAGCTCCTCAGGTTTCCACTGAAATCGTCTTCCTGTATTCCCTCTGCAGCTGTTGGATGTCAGAGAACTTGTGCTCCACTAGCTTCAGTTTGAGGTCTGACTTGACCTGGATGGCAGTTGCTTGAGAGTATCAACAAAATCCATCATCAATATAACAAACGCTTCCATTGTTTGATAGTTCGCACCCATTTAAATTCAGGAAAAAAGGCTACTGGCTTATAGTTGCATCAGAGCTGAACTACGGAGTTTCCTCATCAAACGATTTTAGTTGTAAAGGGTCAAATAAAAAGTCGGTTTAAAGGTATTTTTCCAGTAAAAACTATGTTCAGAACCAAAAAGAAAACATTTAACGGCCAAGAAAGAACAAGAAAACATCACCGGGCCTGTAGGGGGA